TAGTGTTACGACGACGTGCATGCATCCAGATCTTCATATTATTTCATTGTGTAGCCAATAGATCTCTCTCATAGGATGCCACCTTCGTAGGAAATTTACAATTGCCATCAGGTGAGTGTACGCGCAGTTTGCAAAATGTTCTAAACTTGTGCGCATGTTGCTCGAAATTTACTTGAAATACGGCGCAGCCGATGCGCATCACGACAAGTTGACGCACAAAATGCCAATGCATGTGGCAAACTGTAGGAAGTGACATAATTTGAGAGAGACCTACATGTATTAGCATGCGGCAAAAATGGTCAAATGAAGAGACATGGCCGTGGAAGATCGTTTGATTGTTATCAACAACCGCACCACTATTTTGATCGCATGATCACGTCTATGCCGAGGAATCCTCACCTTGTCATGGGTAACGTGAGCATGGTTGCAATTATTTTGTGTCGAGATGCCACTTGTTCCACGAGAATCACACGATTTCTTAGGTTTGTGACCTTTGCATTACTTTTTGCTTGGTGCCGATGGCTCAGTCGCAGCGCAAGCAAATCACAGGTCGGCCTGAGGCCACCCTTAGACTGCCAATATAAACGTGCACACAATGTATGCCTATACGTGGATGTAGATTGGATACAAAAACAATAATGAATGGCAGTTTACAGGCCCTTATACCACTTATAAATTGTCCTATTTTCAATTACACATAATTTTGCCATTGGTCATCGATGTAAACATTTTTAGATAGATTTACATGACAAACTATGAACTAAAGATCTTGACGTGTGTTTGTGATCATGTATTTTCTGCATTTTCTCTTCACCGGCATGTGAAGAGAAAATAAAAATAATTATGACTTGGAAGCCCATTTATTAAACTACTTTTAAGTGAGTAAATTATTTCAATTGCTCTACACGTTAAAATTGTATCACTGTTTAAACAAAGTAACCCTAAAATCAGTTTCGTCCAAGAAAGTAATTTACTGTGTGGTCTGATTGTTTGGAACAACAAAGAAAATGACACTAAAATACTTGTTTCAACAACTGTACACAATTTCTTTATTAACAACCCTCCTTTTGCTAACAAAAGGATTTATAAACTTCACTTCTTTTTTAAAGACGGGCCTTCAAAAGGACTTTGTTGAATATTTTTAACTCTTAAGCTGAGGTTTTATTGCTGGTGATGTTTGAAGACAATTGTAATGACAATTCTTGAAATCACATTTTTGGACCGTAACAGATTTTAGAGTCATTTCGTTTAAATGGTGATATAATTTGAACGGATTGAGCAATTGAACATTTTTTTTTTCATCTCAAACTAGTTTATTAAATTGGCTTACCAGTCATAATTCTTTTTGGTGCTACATATTTAAAAACTTTTTTTTTTTTTTTACTCAGCCTGTTCACACAATATATGTTTCTAGTTGCTGTCCACATGTAAATGGAAAAAAAATTCAAAAGCCACAAAAACAAACAAACTTATGAAAACCAAATCGCAGATTGATTGTGAGGGATTGTCTTATAATGCCAAATTGCAAACACTTAAACACCGAACACAGACAATTTGCAAACTTGAATCGGAGACTGAACTTCTCATTATATACAGCAAATCAAAAAAGCCAGCGGAACGTGAAGCATTACGGCAGGTCGTCCATGCGTAATGCCCAATGCTGCAATTGGGTGCTCTATTATTTAATTAATCATTCATGGCTGTGTGCATCAGCAGTGAATGGTCCAGTGCTCTTTAATCTAAAATGCATTACACTGACGGACTTGAGGTAGGTGATATATGCAGCCTGTGTAATGTGTGCATCCGTCTAGAGATAAAGTGTCAGTCTGGCTGTAACACAGTACATGTATTTTAATAAAATATGCTCAATTTTACAGTCTCCTTTATCATGGCTGTTGAAATTTTTAAACAAAATTTCAACTTGAATGCTCAAGTACCGGTACACATGTAGTTCACGGTCACACATAGTAAGGTGATACACGTAGATCTGTGGGCTATTATTGTACCGGTATGAGAAAAACAACACAAGAAATATAACTGACAAAGATGATCTTAAAAATGTAGATGTTACAGAAAAACAGACAATTTAGAGGGAACAGTTACTTTGTTTTTAATGATAATCTTCAAAATGTATTTTTAAAAAATGCACTTTGAAAACCACAACACTTTGTTGAAGGTACATGTACCGGTACATTTACTCAAACAGACTTCAACGTATTTCACACAAACAAAAAATATTCCATGAATACTGAATACTGACATCTCTATTTTATTACAGTTGAATATATTATACTGTGGTCTGCAGTCTGCAGCTTCTGACCGGCGAATTATTCAACATCTGGTCAGATACAACCAAGTTTAGAAAGAACCTAAGTAATAGAATACAGCAAACGACCTATTTACCGTGTGGTGCGGGACAGCGTAATCTAATCAATCTTGATCTCTTTTTTGCACCAGTCTGTCGTATATTAAATTAAATTCTTTCGTCCCCTCCGAACATGTTTGATAAGTGGAGGGCAATAGATAGATGTGCAATATGAAAGAAATACTGCACACAAACCTGTCGTTGGTCAAAAGGATATCAGTCGGTAATTCTAATTAGGAATTTGATGTTCAGCATTTTTTAGATGCCACATCATATCTATGATAAAGATACTTGTACGAGGGAATGAAAATGGATTGATTTTTCAACGACCATTCATGCTGCCAACTATCTTCATGTCCTTTACAACATTTTATCAGCAAAGTAAATATTTGAAATGTCTATTTTATGCAAACACTTTAATTCCTGTTACAAGTTTCGCAAACTTCTGCACAGAAACTGTGTGCTCAATCTAGACCAGTAGCCTCAGCCAGATAAGCTGGTGTGCTAATTTTGAATTTATGTACATTTACATACACACAGTCATGTTCACACCGTCGATCGTGGACGTCCTATTGTCCCTCTTTTGTTTGTACTTTTTAGGAAGAGTCCCATAGGTTTTGTACACGACCCCAATCGCAGACGTATGCTGAGAATCGTGGACGATATTGTTCTCTTTTCTTCCCTGGTATTTTTCGTCCACGATTTGAATAGATGAACACGCCCACAAAACCAGACACATTTGTTTAAGGTGTAAATTGAGGATTTTCTTTTGTTCCTCTTCCCTTTTCTCATTGGTTTTGTACACGTTTTCTAATCTAGTTCGTCCTCGATTTGGTTCCTGTCCTCGATTCATCGATGATGTTGCACGTGTGTGTCCTCGATTTATACCATAAACAAACACAATCACGTTTGTTTATGGTGTAAATTGAGGATTTTTTTTTTCATCTTCCCTTTTCCTTTGTTTGTATGTTAACTTTTTTTGCAACAGCTCTCATTGGTTTTGTACATGTTTTCTTATCGAGGTCATCCTCGATTTAGTTCCTGTTCTCAATTCATTGACCTACTCACACACACACACATCTTAAACCTGTCCACAGTCTATTTCACAGTTACATCAGAAATAAAATGTAGCATTTACAGCATTATTCTATTTTCTATGAATGCCTACATGTGTATATTAAAACTGTTAGTTTTTTAATTATCTGATTTATATATGTACCAAACAGCCAACAGATAGAAAAGTCTGATTTGTTTCTCTCAGCTACTACTACATACAGTGAAGTCATGAAATTGTACAACTGTAGATCCCATGACCTAAATTTGAATTATAAAATTTGAGATTGAAATTTGAAATCTTCAGATGAAATGATGTTGCACAACATCTTTGGACATTGTCACCATCAATGCCACTCTCTAAGTTTGTTTGTTTTTATTTGCAATAATTTGTATTTTTTTTTTCTGTAAGAGCAGAGTTGTTGCACAAAGAACTTTGAGCGGAAATTGCCCGGCCACCTTCAGGCCACCTCAATGCCTGAATCCACCTACTCCCCTCCTTGCATCACAGATTGAATTGCGGGCTTGTCCAGCTCAGGCATTCTGGCCTGTCAATTAACATACTAATGGTGTCAGTGCTGCGCTTGCCAAATTGCACCAGTCGTCTCATTTTACGCACAGCGTCGTAAGATTGGCTAGCCAATGGCAACAAAGGTATGATAAGTCGCACCTACGGATCCGCGCGCCGGGTGATGGAAATATTCATCCGCATGCACGGACTCCTCAAATTGTCTGCGATACATTATGAAGATGTCCAACCAGTGTGAATAAATGCGTTTCTGTGATACAGGGGAGTACATGTATGTCTGCATAAATTTTACCGCTCTTTGGAGGTCTTCTTGTCGAGTACAGGACATGCATACAAAAAATAGTTTACATTGATTTGATACAGCCAATTCTGTCTTTAGTCTGTGAAAGCATTCAAGGAGGATTTGTTGTCCGTTTGTGCTTCATATCTGAAATATACACAGTGAGCTTTTCTTAAAGCATTTTTATTCATGCAAAATCATGCATATATTGCAACTGTAACATAAGTATAATTGTCAATAAAAATGAAGCTATATAGAGTTATGTGCCATAGCAGGGGCTAGCACGGTCATTTTGATTGGGGGGTAAACATTTTTGAAAAGGGCACTTGCACATCCGTGGTGAAATGTGGACACCTTTTTTTCTCCGGACACGTGGCCTCCGTAAAATAAAAAAGGGGGGGGGGAGCTGGTACCAAAACCGACGATTATGCACACTAACGGACAATATCTGGTGCTTTTAAGAATTCATGCGTGAAAGTCTTTTACAAAAGGCACCAAGAACGGCCGATGTCACACAAGAGGGCACAAGTTCTTTTTAAAAGGGCACTTGGTCAGAAAAAAAGGGCACTTCGTAACCAAAAAAAGGGCACTCTTTACAAAATATTGGGGGGGGGGGGTTAAACGCTAGTGAAAAAGGGCATTTGAATGGAAAAGGGCAGTCTTTAAAAAATATTGGGGGTAAATACCCCTTACTACCCCCCCCCACCCCCCCCCCCCCCCCCCCCCCCCCCCCCCCCCCCCCCCCCGGCTATGCCTATGCATAGCTTATGCTTAATTGTTGCTGCTGTCTCTCATCAAAGGCAATCGTAAAATTCTATGACCTACCCGTTTAAATTTGCATCTTCAGTGAAATGAAAGTACTTCAAGCATAATCAATATGGATACTGAAAACAAATTGGGGGATTAGTTTGCAAAAACTGTCTAAATGGTTTTAGCATTAGGAATGGATTTCCTGAGCATAAGGTCTATTTCTGAGTCCTACAACTAAAGTGAAATACATGTACATGCATGGTGGTGTACAAATGTAGAACAAGCTCAAAACCAAACAGTGTGGTACTCAGACTTTTGTTTGTGGGTGAAAATCTGAATTTTTTTGACAAAAAGTTTTTTTTGTTCAAGCAGTTGAAAACTGCCCTCTCGCAAAAAAATATTCTTGCATGCATGTGTCATCAGACCATCTGTGCCAACACCCATATTTCTTACTTAATATTCAGTACCCAGTCAACTCAGCCTGGGTGCTAGGGCTTGATTCCTACTATCATTCTTTACTAGAGGACTTGGCAAAAAAAGATGTCAATTCCTTTTAAATCACCAATGCTGCAGAAGCCCAGAAAAATAAAAAAGCTTGAATTATACATTCACAAGAGTGGATCCAGAGAGGTTACTGCAGAGGGGGGAGGGGGGCTAAGACTGTGCTTGGGGAGGGGTGGCAGAAGAGCTCTAACAAGTGAAAAAAATGGCCTTATTTGAAAAAAGTTTGGTCACTGACGGCCCTCCTGGATCCTCGAATGATTCAACCTGATATTGAGAAATCGTCACTGCACTATCAGGGTTACTAGTATTCGGTCCAGCAATTTCAGAGAACTTGAGAAGGCTTTTAAGAACCCGAGATCTCTTGAATGTTCAAATGACTGGCTGCCTTACTTGTCACGGCAATTCCAGTACATGCACAAATTACACAGGGTGGTAAATTTGTACAGCTTGCTCAGCAGCCAATGCGAGTTCCCCTTGCGGAGTGAACGTTAGGCCAAGTGTTGGGCCGCAAGCGTCAATAGCACACCCCTTGTATTTTCCATCAGGACCAAAGCAGTGAATTTCCCCAGACCAAGGTTTTAGCACCGCTACGTAGATGAGTCCCTCCTTGTCACAGCACTCGCTGGTGGGGCCTAGGTTCTTATCCTGTTTGTGGATGTCGACATCTTCAGAAAACACCCTAATGCCATCGTAGTCAACTGCAATCAACTTTTTCCGACCGTGATTGATGTAGATGAAGCGCTGCTTGTAGGTGGTCAAGTAATCACCAATCATCGGAGCGGGTAGTGTTCTGATGAGGGTACCGTCTAGGCTGTGCAGGCATATCACCTCCTTATCCTCATAACCCACCGCTATCAGATCATTGTCGTCCACTGCAAGGCACGTTGGGGTGCTGTTGGAGCCTCTACCTGGCATGAACTCATGGAGGAGCTCATAGTCTTTCCTGTTAAAGACCTTGACAGCAAGACCGTCAAGAACAACAAGTGAGTCCTCCCTGTTCACTGAAACATGGCTAGGGTGATAGAGAGCAGTGAGTTCTTGCCTTGGTAGACTTGAATGGCTGAGTTCATCATCACCTTCCTGTGAGGGTAAAAAAGTAATCTGGCTCTTCTCAATGTCTGCAACTGCTATTTCATTATCAGAGAATGCAGCCACATCGTATGCAAAACCAAATTCTACCTGGTCTGGTTCACAGTTTACTGATTCTGTTTTCAATTCCCATTTTCTCCGAGAATTTAACGTTTCTGTTCCATCAGATTCGGAGTCCCGATCACATAGCACTAGTCGCCCAAGTGGACACTCCTGACCATTTTCAAAGTCCATGAACACCAAAGAATCAGGTACTGTCTCTGGTTGTTTGTGAGCCAACTCATTAAGGTTATGCAAGAGTTTCTGTTTGAATTCCAAGATCTCACATTGGCTTTCCTGAGCCAGGAGCCCCTTTGCCTCATCAAGCTTGTGCTGAGCCTCTGCTAACTCTTGGCCACTTGTGGCTTGTGCAGTTTCAAAGATCTTGGCTCTGTCTTTGTAGATCTTCAGCACTTCTTGCTTCATCTTCCGCTCCTCATCTCTAATCCTGGCAACCTCTCCACTGGCCCTTGCAGAGACCTTCTGTGTAACACCGGCAAACATGGCATCTAGTTTCTTGCGGGACATCTCCATTTCCACGATGGCAAGGCTCAACCGTTTCGCTCCCTGTGCAGCTTTTGCAAAAAGGTCTGCCACATGCTGTCTGCATTTTTCTGAAGCCTCAGCTATGCCACTAAGATGGTGCTCATCAGTGTCATGATCACGGAGTGAACAATTTGTGCACACTAACTGCTCACAGGTGCTGCAATACAGGCAGGCATTCTGGTCCAAATGCTCCCCACACTGATGAGCAATGCCACCACTGGATTTGGTCACTTGGACCAACACCTGAGATTTGAGCTGCGCCAGCGTGTAGATTTTGTGCGATCTCATCATTGCCAAGCGCTCGTGAGCCCTTTGACACTCTTGACAAAGATAATACCCACAATCTTCACACCTTGAAATGGCCCGATTGTCCTCATCACAGGCTTGGCATTTGACCACTGAACCTTGACCTCCTGGAAGCTGCTCCTCTAAAGCTGCCGCTTCAACCAAGGCACTTAATGTGAAATTGCTAGACAGAGAGGCAACTCCATTTTCTTTCAGTGCAGTTTCATGTCGGCATACAGGGCAGGTTAGTTTCTTACTCCGTGCATCCTGTTCTTGACTGAGCTCTTGGAGGCATTTCAGACAAAAACTGTGCATACAGTCCAGCATCTTGGGCTGCCGGAAAAAGCCGAAGCAGATTGGACATTCCAGATGCTCACGAATACTCGGACCAAGACGGGCTGATTGAGTGGCCATGTTGCTTGTCTTGTTGCCTCACAGAAGATGATTTCGGGCCTGCAAAGTGGAACAATCACTGTTAGTGCAACTTCTCTGTCAAATTGCCTGTCAAAATAACCCTCAAAAGTCACCACAAGTCCACACTATATACGATCTTAAGTGAAAGCTCCTCAAAAGCACCATGACAAAGACATATCTCCACTTACTTGGACCTTGCATGTCACGTGACATGACATGTGATTGAATTGTGATGAACCTGACTGAAACATATACTGGACACAAAAATTCTCAAACAACCATTGTTTAAGAGCATGTCACAAGTCTATCAATGAATATCAAGTCAAGTCAATCAATGTTGTTGAATGTGTACACATCAGGTCTTACAAAAATCATTTTTCTAACAAATATGTTTACCGGTACCCCACCAAAAACCCTGCATCTACCGTCTTGCATCAACTAATAAGGCAGGTGTTAGTATACTATGGAGATAGTTTCTTTATTTGTGTGCCAACTTGTGCAAAATAGGAATGATGTTCTTAATCTGCATAAACTGTTAAACAGAATGTGTGACAAAACAAAATGTATTAAAACCCCACTGGGATCTGATCCCCTCAGTTCAGTGAGTCTACATTCAAGACAACAAGTTTTCTTTTATTTTGATGGAAAACCACTTTAACACAGTGAAAATGGCATGTAATTAAGTAAGTAGAATAAGACATTTTCATCCAAGCTATGATTACCACTGATTGAGAATTATGCAAGAATCATGATATACTACATATATCGTGTTTGCCTATGATTCATATTTCCTATCCCCGACAGTTTAGTAATTTGCTACATGAGTATATACGTGTGTACATGTAGGTTACACTCCAGGTTTTGACACTCTCATGATTTAATTTTTTGGGGGAAAACTAAGCTGACTTACCTGAGTTGTAGCAGGAGACCTGAAATGTCCTGGGCAACCCAAGTACGAATTCTGAAGTAGGGTACGTGTATTGTATTTGTTGTGATAGGTTAAATCAACAGTCAACAATGGCAGCCAAGCCAGGTTGCTTTCAGTCCCGATGACACAAACTGTACTTTGGTAATTCCCAAATTCTATTTTTAGATAATGCAATATAGCTGGGTAAACGTACGTTCCAGGTCAAAAGTCATTGAACATGCTTATAAAATTCTAGGATATTATGGTGCACATGGACTTCAGGTTTCATGATGGGGGAAATCTACTACAAATGTCAAATCTGCAAAGAATATATGTATGTTGTTCGAAGATACAGGAAGACTCTTGAGCTGGGAACATGTTTGCATGTTTGTATTTGAAACTATATAGTAATGTTTGTGAATGGAGCTCTGGCAAATTATGTAAGTACGAAGATATATTCCTCAGCTTCAAACAAATGTATGTTATAAATACACAATATAAAAATGCTGAAATATACCTATCAGTGCAATTTATCTCACATATTAAAAGTTATTTCTCAGCTACAAACAAAAGGTGCACACTATAAAAAATGGAATGTAAAAACTATCAATGCAGTGTTCAAAGAAACTTGTTCCCAATAAGACATATTTGTTTGCCTCAGCACGAAGAGAAGTTGGCAAAATAATATAAATTATAGTAAAATGGAAAATATCCAAGATGCAGATGAGTTACTCGTTTGGGGATCTGCATTAGAAAGAAATGTACATGTTGTAAAAATGCAAACAATGGTTGAATTTTGGTTAAATTTTTTTTTCAGGCTATCTCTGTGTCAAACAAAAAAAGGTTGTATTTTGGTAAATCCCTAGTTCTGATATTTATGTCATCCTCATATTTGGCTTTTTTAAATCATGATCACTGCACAATTCCTCTCTGAACTGCCAAAAAAAACTCCATGTTTTACATTCACGACTTTGGAAGGTTTTGTTTTTTTAATCACTAAATCGGAATTGAAATTAAAAAGCATTTTCCCTTTGCCAAAATAACATTTAAGCCAAACAGGCAACTACACATACATGAATCCAATAACATTTTGGTTACAATCAGATGAAAAGTGGAAGTGCACGTTACAGAAACCAGGTCGGTCAAAGACCACACAGTTTCGTTATCACCCATCCTTAGTTAATCAAGCACCAGGTTAAAAAAATATCACGCAAACCAGACTTTTACAAAAAAAGTGTGCTTCCATTCAAAACCCAAAATTAAAAATTAAACCACAGTATCTTGAAAGCAGGGTGCAATTTTTCATGTATTAAGGTATATTCTAAAGCCAATGAAACGCTGTTCAGTGGAAAACAGATCTGCACTTTTGAAACAAATTCAGCTTTTTAACCTGTTTTTGTAACTGAAGTGGTACAAAAATGACATCAGAAAAAGAAACATTCTCTGCTCGGTTTGTCGATTCCTAAATGTTTGTCAAAACAATTATTTTCTTCAAATGATAGTTTTGGGCGCATTTTTAAAGGCTTTACTGTGCACTTCAAAATAAAATTGGAAAATCGTGCCAAATAAAATTTCTCGTAACTTGTACTGGGTCATGTTAGTAAACTCAAGATTTATGAATGGGAATCAGTAGGGGATCCAGAGGGGACCCAGCCAGCAGCCCCCCCCCCCCTACATTTCACCATGTTTTATTTTTCAATTTTTTTAGGAAGTATGTCGTCTTTTTTCCCTGTTTCTTCTTCTGTCAACTGGTAATTAATTACTTCAAAGACAGAAATTTTCACCCAGATGAGCAAATAGGGGCCCATATGCCCCCTTGTATGTTCTGGTTTCGCCTCCATGTTAAGCACCACCTCCCCCCTCCCCCCCCCCCCTTCCGTAAATGCTGACTCCGCCACTGGGAATGTTAAGAGCTTGATGAAATTTCACTTACTGTGAAATTTGAGGTAAAACTTTTGCTCTAACAAGGCACTTGAGTAAAAAAACAAAATGCACCTGACATCACCAATATAGCTTCAAATGGTTGTCCAAAAGAATATTCCCCAATGAAACGCCTACAGTGTCATGTGATACACAAAGATTGTCGTTTTGCATTTTGTTTAGTCCACCACTTGATGTATGATCATGGTCATGCATGATTTTGACAATTATGAAAATTAACATCTATTATAATTACTGAATATATCCATGTAGCAGTGTTTCCCCTGCCCATTCAAACATGAGGCGGCCCACCTCGCTACTTCGGGTGACCACCTCGCTCAACTGTTGCCAATATCACCACCTCGCTGTAAAGATTTACCATATAAGGAAATATATCAATTGAAAAAAATAATTTTGAGTAATTTATGATCGTTTTCCTTGACCTCCATGTATCAAGGACTCATAATTTTGATGTGTTTTTGTCCATCATTGTGCATTTTTGTCAGCGCTGCATTCTTTTCAGTTTGCAGGCTGAAAATTTTGTTTCAATCATCAAGTTGCATTGTTACCACTTCACTCAGTTCATTAGCCAGGGAAAACACAGCCATGTAGGATTATCACACAAACATTTTCATTTTTAATAATGGAAAAATAGTTGGCTCTCGTGCGTGTAGAGTACATTACACTTTCTTCTTGATTCAATATTCCTCTGCTGTTAATATTTAACAAATATTGACAGTTCTGGTCGATTTGTAAATGGTCGGCAGTTTGCAAACGACTGTTCTGTAAATGAACCCCGAGTTTATACACACAGCAGCTGTTTATGAAAAGGATGGTTTGGGGAAACACAAAGATGAGTCAAGTGGAAAAAAACTGCACATATCGTTAGTGCATGATGAATTTTTAAAAAATCAGAGAAGTTGGACAAAATACAACCACACCAATATCATCACGACATACAGGATTCCTCAAAAACCTTAGGGGGTAAAATAAATAAATAGATACACAGTAAGAATAAAATTTGATCAAAATCTGCAAAAAAAGTTGGATTCAACGCTAAAATTCTTTAAATCAAGAGAAACCTTTCTCTTTGTTCCTGCTGTTAGCGCTACTACTTTTCAGTATTTGTATATTAAGTAAAAATGCCGGAAGAAAAACCCACACAAATATTCGTCATCCAAACCTGATGGAATCAAAATGCAGGATGGAAATGAAATTCATAAATTCGTCTTGTAGGAAAAAAATGATGAAGCTATATACTCATCGGAACACTGACAAAGAAACAGTTTTTATCATGACCAGAATATTATCTCAGTGTAACTTGTGCCCCCCAAAATAGTCAAGCTTAAGACTATCCCATTCCTTTCCAGTCTTGAGCAATAGATGAAATGCAATGTCTCCAACATCGACTTGTTACATTGGTACAATTGAGAATATGCATGTATGGTGCATATTCATAAAGTCAGTTCATTTTCTGTTTTTAATGAAATATAAAAATCTCAACCTACCTGAATGTCCCCGCAGTCCCTCACCACATCCATGATGACATCCAAGAGCACGAAACACCTGAATGAGTGTCTCCATGACCAGGTTATGCACTGTCATATCCTCAAGGCTCTTAGATGCTACGTCCCCTTCCCCATCCTTGTCGGGTGCCTTGACCTTCTCTCCTTCCACCTTGATGACCGGGATCTTAGCCTGGGAGGGCTTCTCACTCTGCTTGACCACACGGAACTCCAGGATGGTCTCAATGATGTGTAAGGAGGTGTCGCAGACCTTAGCACTGGTCTCCTTGGTGATGATCTTGTGAAGTGCCTTGATGATAACACTATAATTCATCTGTCCATCCTCTTGGATGTAGTAAGTAGAGCCAGCTGCCTCTGTGATCTCTTCCTCTTCAGCGGTGTGGTAGTTGACAAAGGTATCCGATGCGCTACGGGGCAAGAAGGTAGGGATGTCTAGCCTGGACATGTTAGAGCAAGAGTCATGATGAGGTGGCCGGTCTGGCGACAAAGGTGACTGGGGAGGAGGTGGTTCACTCAGGTCCTCGGAGAGAGGGATGAGAAGAGATGCTGAGCTGACAGACGATGGTGATTTCTCAGGAAGTGGGGAAAATTCCACAGGGGAGGGAGGTGGAGATTTAGAGTTTGTCATAACAATGGGGGTAATGAGTGGTTTGGCAACCTCAAAGGTGACTCCCGTGTCGTTAGTGGGGACTGCATCAAGGGCTTGAGGGGGCGCTTCAAAGACTGGCGACTGTCGCTGGAGCATCGGGCGATTCACCACCACAGGGGCTTTGTGCTGGACTACATTGGCCTTATGAATAACTTTGGCAGGTTGCGGTTCAATTTTGATCGGCTCGTCAAAAATGAGTAGTGGCTTCTCATGCACCTCAACGGAGACTGGTTTGTGGAGGGTTATCAAATTCTTCTCTGATTTCATGGCACGGCGTTCGTACAGTTTCTCCGACCTTGTGGAAGTGGAGTTGGTGTGCTCCGAGAAGAAATCTGCTTTGGCTGTCATGACAGACGTGGATTGCACATTTGTGGTAGTTTTGGTGACCGTGAAACAGGTTGATGACTTCTCTGTTTTGATAGGTGGGATAACCATTGGGGACACCTTGGACGTTGCCCCAAAAGGTCGCGTCTGGGTTGTCACCACAGTCGGTCTATGTGCAGCATCTGCAGATACTTGGACAAATGATGGCAATTTTGTAGCAGTAGCTGAGAAGCTTTGTTGATATGGAAGTGCCGTGGGCCTTGAGACGTAGGATGGAGATGTTGTAGTAGTGCCTATGAAGGGTCTTTTGGAATCCAATGAGCCTGTTGAGTACAAAGGGGGTGTTGACGGAGAAGCTGATCTTGTGAGCTCCTCAGGACTCATCAAGGCTGGTACTGTCTTCAGCTGAACTACATCAATTTTGAATTTAAAGGGTTCCAGCTTAGGCGTTCCTGCACTAGAGCTCTTGGGTACCTCACCAAGTGTTGGTATCTTTTTGGTTGGTGAATCAACAGTTTGTACTATTTGTTCATCACTCCCAGAGCCTGTCTTGCCCTCTTCTATCTCCTCCTTGATGAGTTTGGGCATCAATGCACCCACTGTCTTAGACAGACTTGATGTGCGTCTCAGCTTTCTATGAGCTTTGTTCCCACGTCCCTGGTCTCCCAGACTGGATCTCTTCGGTGGACTGATCTTCCGCAGTGGTAATGGCTCAACCCTCTCAAATTTCATCTTTTTGGGAGATCCAACCAGTGGGTAGGAGTCCCTGTGCCTTCCTTCATCCCTGGATGGCTCAGAGCCACCCATACAGCTCATTGGGACTGAGAATTTCTTTGGCGGTCCAGGTGCAGGCGAGAACAATGATATGGTGATTTGGGGAATAGGAGAGGAGTTACTTCTTTGTCGGACCCTCTCAGCTGCCATGGTTTCATCAGCAATCTGCCGTAGTCTGTTCAGGAGATACATAAGAGCCCATTGGACCCCCTCTTCTGCCCAGTGGGGAATGAACAGGCACCGCATGACACCCACATCAAAATATGTGGCAGAGAAGACATCATTGATCCTCTGTGGAAGTCTCCGTTTCGGTAACTCCATTGGGCTGGTTGATGGTGGAGGAGGTCTTGGGACAGAGAGTGAGGCAACAAGTTCAGCATGATCGATTCCCTCATGGAGCGGAAGAATGCTCCTTTCAATGAGAGACTTGGGACGTTCCTTGGCTCTATTTGGTTTCAGTGGCTTGGTCTCATCCTCAGAGCTCGAAGAACTCATCTGTTCAAAATCAAATCTGGTCTTGGCGGCCATTTCCCCAGTAACCTTAAGGTTCCCACATCGGCAGGTGTTATTATGAGTCACCGTTGTGTTGCATACCTCACAGACTATCTCCACATTAACTGAGGGTGGGTCAGGGGTCACTGCCCCACTGCTGAATCGACTGACTTCTGAGATATCTGCTAACGGGACTATGTTTCCTGGAGGTGACTCTGGAGGGGCTTCCTCTGCCTTGGGTGGCTCCTCTGTTATCTTCTCCTCCTCCTGCTCTTGTTTCTGCTCCTCCTCCACTTCTTCCTTCTCCTCTTCCATTTTGCTGGTCATTTCAGGATCCTTCCAGATTCGACGGTTTGCTAACCGGTAGCAGCGTTTGGGCTTTACATGGGCAGCAAAACTTGATATATCTGGGAGTTTATGGTCCCACAATGACCGCCAAAGCTTCAATCCATTGCCTAGGCGGAATGTCAGATCTGATTCCTTGATGGTATACACAAGTGGAGCAAAGAGGTACACAAAGAGCTGAATGGTGGTCAGTCCATGCTCTGAGTTGCCAGGAAGTCGGAGGAAGTCCAACTGGGTGCTGTCCTCCTGCATGCACTCCTCCAAGGACTCTAGAAGCACCCAATGAAGAGTCAGCAGCAATTTGGTCTCTGCAACACCCAGTTTGTCGGCATGACCCAGCTTGGCACGATTGCTTAGGAGGGCGGCAGAGCAGTGCATGAGGTGAGGCAAGGAGGCTTGGATCAGCTGCCATCTTGTGATGCTGTTGATTGCGTCAGAAAGACTTGGAGACAAGCCGTGCAACTTGTTTTCCACAAGGACTCTTTCAAAGGACTGCAAAAGGAATAAAAAGACATAAAATGACATACTAAATTTGATCCAAAGCAGTATACAAGCAACTCACTGAACACTTATGTTTTAAAACTGACAATTGTAAATTCATACAACTCTCATTATTTGGAACAAAAATGGAGGTGTCTCACATAATAACAAGCACACATACAATGTAATGTTGGAATTCTATTAAACTGATCATCAACATGTAAAAATGGATTTTTGGAATTGTTAATTATTTGTAAGATTCAGAGTAGAAATGTGTAAAAATAACATACATTAAAATAAAATATGATGATATGTTGCTGCCAGGTAAAACACATATAAAAGTACTGTTTTGCTACATAAACCTTCTTTTGTCATAACATTATTTCAAATTATATTTTCACATTAAACAGAGTAAACACTGTAGCAAACAGGAAAGGTAATTTTGGTGTTAATTTTAAGTTTCTCAACATATTCTACAAAACAAATAAAAGGATTTCAATGTTTGAACAATTCAATATTGAACCGACTTAGAAATGTTAAATACTATAAAAATTTGCATTAAAAATTGAAATAATGCACCTCATTAAATAACCACATATAGCACATTACAGGTTTACATGCATACATGATATCCTTTTATGCTATACATGCACCTAAGGGGACAATTCAATAGTGAGTGGCCATTTAGTACACTTGAAGGATTCTATACCGTGCATTCATCACCATGGCAATACATCTTTTCTGCGTGACTAGCAAACACAGCAGGATTTAATTTCGTCCCTGCACGCAGCAAATGCCACAAATTGATGACATACATATGTCTGTTAATTTTCAGGGAATAACAGCGGGGCAGGGATGAATACTGATTTGATTTCAAGGAGATACATGTATCTGTACATGGGAAAATACATGTACAGTTGAAATGATTGATGTTTGTGCTGGGAAAACAACATTGAGTATTCCCCTAACAACATATCAATCATTAATTAAACATTATTTGCTTACAGCTTCAAGCTGTGTTAAAGTTGCATTAATCTTCTCATATTATTAATTTCCAAAAACTTGAATGGGAGTATTTTTCTTTAACATATTTTGTAAGCAAGGCAAGTTTTTTTATGGTTAGATTAAAAAAGTTTCTGTTATTTAAGCTACATCTGAAAACAAATGATGATTTTCATAATCCATCCATATTTAGTTGCTGGGTTTTCCTACATGTTGCAATTTGTTGCTTGTTTGTTCAGAGTAAAAGACATCTTTAATAGTGTAACAATTTTCGTAATTCATTATCATCACAATAAAAGATGCTGGATTTTATCACAAATATACATAATGTAAAATGAAAAAGCAGAAAGAATTTAATATCCTTACCACTTAAATTTTTTTCAGCTCAAAAGCAACCCATTCAAACCCTAATACACCAAAATCCTCCTGGGAATTTTGGAGGATTGAGGATGAAATTTTGAGAGCATGAAGATTTTGAAGCCGGGATTGAAGTGCAAAATTTTGGAGGATTTTGGAATATTGAGGACGGTTCCTAGCAAAAAAGACCAAGGGGGTTTGGGAAGGCCACAAACCTTGCAGGTAAGCTTATTTGCTTTTGTGACACTTTGAAATGACATACATTTGTACCAACTTTATGTGGGCTAGATGCAACAGACAAAGAGGCCAAAATGATGTCACTGTTTAAAATTTATCATTTTTTTTTCATAAAAAAGAGGAGGCAGCCTCCAAAAAGGAAGTGGGCGGGGACGCTAAACATGTCTTTTTTTATTTGGCCTTACCACCACTTTTGGATCAGCACAAAACAATTATTTGAACAGACAGAGAAAAAAATCAAAACATCATTGAGCTCAAGCTATTTCTGGTCCCAAGCCTTTCAGAAACTCACCACTTTCGCTAGTGTGTTTGGAGAAACAACTTTTAAATTTCAGAGAAAATCTGACTTGAGTCTATAAATGCAGAGCTCCTGAAATGTCACGGCCTGACAGGGTTTCTTGACTGACATAGGAATGCTGTTTATTAATCTGATAGAATGTTTTGTTGCTCCAGACTGTACTTAGTATCCGAGACTGAACCCAACTGCTCACAACAGAGGCAAAAAATATTCTTGAAAATGCAAGAAGGGTACATAAGGACAAAAAAATAGTTCTGCTTCAGGATACCTTACCTACCCTATTTTGACAGCCCTACCCTATTTATTGTTTTTGGGGAGGAATGAATGAGAAAAAAAACGAAATCATCAATTACCGTACTGCCACTACTACCCCTTGACTACACACAGACACTTCCATATGATCGTACACAACAATATGATTGTACCCATCAATACGATCGTACTCCATATGATCGTATACAACAATATGATCTTACCCCAAAAAAAATAAAATTATCTACCTACCAACCTTATTTCAAATGCGGAAGCAGAACTAAATGAGAAGCAGCTAACTATCTCTCTTTTTTTGGCTTAAGGACTAAGGAATATAAATATTTTATTACACTTATAAGAAAAAATCCATTGAAAAACAAAATCCTAAAATTCAATTACAATTTTTGAAAAATCCAAAAATTGTATTTGAAACATGGCTCAGGCATTGTCCCTTTTTTTTCAAAGTATTTTGATGCAAATCATTCGAGTGCAAATTAACAGTGGGATGCATGTACTTTTAATTAGAATAAAAAGCTATTTTCTTAACGATCAGCATTTTTCATCATAATGTGTAGTCTACGTGTATCAATGTCAAAATCAAATAACACTTAATAAATAGCATAAATGTACTAAAAAGTATTCTGTTACAACAAACATTTAGTACATAATTCTGAAATCTTTGCCCATTTACATTTAATGTGCATTAATCAAGATTATGGCCACCATGTTTCCATCAAATTTCCTAAATTTTATTGAGGGACAATATTAAATTCCAGTTAAGTAACCTTTGCTGACTGAAAAATTATGAAATCCTACAGTGAGACAAACTGATTAGATTTATATGGTACAATGTCATAAAACCTAATGTGAAATTAAATTACTTAACAGCAGAAAGAAAAATATTCAATAACCTGAGGTTGAATATCATTTTAAACAACACCATGATTTGTGGTTAGCAAACTGTTCTTCATTTTGCACCTTTCTAAGTGTCTGCCTAACAGACGTACAGTATCTAGCTGCCAGATTAATGGAGGCCCAATTAACATTTTAATAAGATTACAATTGCCCCCGCTAAATCACTCGCACAGGAACAGTCATTTCAACACCGGCCCGACACCCCTATGCCACATATGGTACGGAAATACGCAAGCAAAGAGAATAATCTGTCGTGTTGTTGCCGCGGCGCGGCACTCAGGCCCGGCTAGCTCGCCAGAGTGCCCTAGTGCAGGCCACGGAATCTCATAAATTATTGCCGATGATAATCACCCCTTGTATGCTTAATCAATACAGGCCTGAATCGTGTGTGCCGGGAAAGAAGGATTTGGTCATAAGGGGAGAAAAGGCTATGTGTTATAGGTGATGCAGCGTGCATCCATGGACACGAGATGACGGTGCAAGACCCTTAAGAAAGCAAAGGCAGCTGGTCGGATGGATTGACTGAATAAATCATTACAATGATTGTGGGAGGACGGATGTATGCACTTTGCCGTGCACAGATTAAATCACATCGTGTGTATTGATGAACGCGTGTGTGCAAGATTACATTAGTTATTTAGAACCTTGTTTTCATAATGCATGGCGGGGTGGACTGAATGGTACATTAAGCGTCAATTTAGCAGGATTTTATATGACCCTGCTTGCTTGGACAATTACAACATGTATATCATGTTATTTTAAATATTCAGATGATTTGTTTTATTATTAATACCATTATTGTTAATAATCAGTTTGGTGATGAAAATATAGGTTTTTTTTAACAATTTTGAAAATTCTGAGTTTTGAAAACACACAAGGATGTTTCTTTCTCACATTTACTGGTACATACATATCACATATAATACTAGGGATTATCATTAACATATTACACATTTTAAGTTCTATTACAGAAGTTGCACAAGATAGCCTAATATTTGATTTAAAGCAATGCACTACTATGCAAGCAATCATGCAAAATGCTGTCATTCAGAGAAAATTTAACATACAATGTATCGTATTCTGTAAAATAAAATGCAACAGTTGCAGTCCTGGATAGAAATTGGAATAATTTTTATCACTACGGAGTGCCACTCACTTTAAGCTATTAAATCAACTCACTTTGAAAATTGTTTCAAATGTACAATTTTTCTTCTCCATTGTGACTGACTTTTATTTAACTTCCAGAAACCATACACATACATGTAATATGGCAAGTTTAACAGGAATGACAAAAATATATTAAATAGAGCATTATAATTTTGTCTGCAGTACACATCATTTTATATCACACAATTTAACGAGCAAAGAAATTCTCTGAAAAGGGTACTTACAACACAACTGGCTTCGTAGAGTCTGCCTAGCTTTGGTCGAATGAAAGGGCTGCAATACAAACAGTCAAAATTACACATAATATGTTGGGCTAATTACTATTTTCATGTCCATGACAAACAGGACAATAAAATTCCATGACTTTCCATGACCAAATTATGAACATTCATGACCTAGTTCATCAAAATGCAGATCAAAATTGAAAAATGTGGATATCACGGGGTCAAACATTTGAAATCAGAATGCTTGTATCAGTGTAGTTTGTCACATTTTCTCAGGTATAAAGATCAGATTTCCGATGCCAAATTATGAATACATGTACACAGCTTAAAATTTAAAATAAATTGGTCCTCACAAAATTCCATGACTTGTTAATTTACAAATTTCCATGACCTCTCCAGACCTGGAAATTGAAAATTAAATTCCATAACTTTTTCAAGTTTTCTTTCTAGGCCACTGAAAACCTGCAAACAACTTTGGATCAATTAGGGTTGACCATGGAGGAAGGAAAACAGACTCCTCCATGGGTTGACTTTATCAAGCAATGAACCAAAATCAGACAAATTGTGATGTTTTCTCTTTGGTGGACAATCACAATCATAGTTGCCTAAGAGTGGCAATGTTTTGTAATAGGAGCATTTTAACATGTTGACTAATGAATCAATGGCATTAATTAAGATAGAATTAACTGCAGGCATGATTAAGATCAAGCTGATACATACATTGGCTTTTTGTCTACATACACAAATAGTTAAAGGGAATATACATCATTTGCTTTTGCTGTAATTTTCAGAAATGGATGGAATTGGGGGGTTGGAAATATACATAGCAAATATTTTAAACTGACTTTTTTGAGGTTTTGGGTTCGAAAATGCTATAAAAACCAAGAAAAACAATCATTTTCCTGTAGTCTGGTTCCCTGACTCCATTTAAGAAGAAACAGAGCAGTTTACATACATTGGGGAATTGTAAGGTCAGGGAACCAGTCTAGCTGGCTTGTACCCGTTCATAGGTGTGTAATCGATTGCAAACAAGTGCGATGGTCAACTGGGGCCAGTATTTGAGAAAAAAAAACTTTCCAACGCTGGTCGGCCGATCAGCGTTGGAAATTGATACAAAAATACCACTTTCTTGAAAATGACAGTATACCAGGTGCCATGATTTTACAGGATGCTTTACACTGTCATTCACTAACAGTCCAGCAAGGTATTTCAAAATGATTTGGTAGTTTTATTTTTTGATGTTTGCAAATGTTGTATTTTCCCTTTAAAGCAGTACCTGTATTTTTCAGTCTTCATTTCTGGCAGATTTTCATTATTTTCTGAAAAGTCCCTAGCTGTATTTCAAAGTGTACTCTCTAATTTCTGCACATTAAAAAAAAGCCAAGAACTGAATGTTTAGATTTGTTTTGTGTCTGTGTTAATACAATCATTCTTTACAATTACTACAATTACTTCTATAACTGAAATTTAACTAACTAGTGTGTATGTTATGCTGTACAGCATTGGTTGAAAAATTCCCAGACTGAAGGATTAATTGATACCCAAAATAAAATGGTGATAGATGGTATAAGTTCAAAAGTAGGCCTACTACCCTCTGAAATTTTGTATGTGTCCCAAAATATTTGTTTAAATGTAACCCATGACAAATAATTATGTACACTTATAATTTACAATTATTGAATTTGGGAGTGCAACAAGGTACAATGTACACTATGTGGATGGAGGGGAAATAACTTACACTTATCCCTTCTTTTTCATAGAGTATGAATTTGGCACAGTATGTGATTATTTCAGCCAACAATATCATGACCTGCCTGTTACGTTAATAGCATATCTTTTGTTTGCTGAGATCAAAGTAATTGAAAGTGAAAATTATAGAAAATTTAAGAGGGATCAATATTTCCAAACTATACATTCTTGATAATTGATTGACCAGGATATTATCAAAATGTAACTCATCAGTAGATCCTAGTTGTCAAAATATAAACAATGAAACTTGAAGATTACAATGTATTATAAATAAGTATTCATGCTATGGGCATGCGCTATTTATATTAAGATTTTTAAAACAACCTTGCCCCGAAACAAAATCAATGAATAGACACGATAAATACTGCTTACTCCTGTCTACACGCATCAATGTACTGTCTTAATCTTATCAAAAATATCTGTTGTAATAAATACCCGACCAAAATTTGAGCCTGCGGGATTTCAGATATGTCAAACATTCCAAACATGCGGCCAGACTAAAAGTAGCACCAGGCTAGCAGCCAGCCTTGAGACTGAAAGGGAAAAAAAAAACAAGCAGTAAGATGGACACAAACCTCGTCTGTCTCCACAAGAAAATCTGCAGCGGCAACGGCACTGACCGGGCCAGAATTTTCGGGTCGTCGTTGCAACTTTTTCGCTTGACCATCTTGGGATCTATGAGCCTCCTTTTGCGGGATGCTTCTCGATCAGTTAAATTCCATCTTGGTTGTCTCTAAAGTCAAGCTTTCTTTCAGTGGGCCACAGATTGTTGAAAAGAGGAAAATAAAATCCTCTCTCCAGGAGAATCCAGCCGGCACGTCTGCGCTGACCGGTGGTATACAAACAACGCGCGGCACATAGAAAATGCATACATCGTACGTCCCTCGATAATCAGCGCTCACAACAGCACAGTAGTACGTATATCGATGGTTGGAACGTTTCATTTCGTGTGGGGGAGGCAGTGAAGTTCGCGCGGTTAATCTCTGGCGGATTTTAGTTTTGATTTTAGCGAAATTCTGAACAATTGTGTCTGAAAGCATTATGATTCCAAGAGCCTATCGTGGAATACGTAAATTTCATTTCGTTAACTTGACTTTCAAATGGCAGCACATTACCTAAACGAGATCACCCCCAAAAAAACATAGTTAGACCCACGGTGATTTAATCTCGATGGGGGCGTGTACTCCTCCTTCCTACCCTCCCGAGTACAGTACTTCTTTATCGAATTAGATTTTTTTCGAATCTCAAAATGTTATGTTTTATTTTAATGAAAACGAACATTGCCGAGATATTTTCTCTATTTCTTACTATTCCGGGCGTCTGCAACCCTCTGAGAGAAACAGCTATTTATGAAAGGTTTTACACTTCTATAGTCTGGATATGTTTGTATTATTGAATTATTGCCGGACGACAGACCGCAAGTTTTTCGCAGTTTGTATTTTGTTGTAATTTTTCCAAATAAAAAATTGATGTCTCATTAAAAGTGAACATTTTTTGTATTGTTAGGAAAAAGCAATTTGAAACCAAATCTATTTTGGGATGGCACTTGAACCTACATTCATGTACTAAACCCTCTATTATTGTAGTTTATACCTTCGTCATGCATTGCTTTTAAGCCATAGCAAATATACATATGCCAAGACGACAAGATATAACCACCATCTGGTGGTGCTTGCATAGTATTCAGCAGAAGCAGAAGGAGATTCATTTTGAGATTATTGTGTCGTCAGCATTTCTGATAAGTTGCTGCCAAACGTACATTGTGATGTGTCCATAACTTTGTGACTCTAGGCATGCCTAGATTTAAAATTTCATACTTTTGATTCCATTGGATTTTTTCTCCTTTAAACGAACTTTCAATTTGTAGGCCTATTTTGTTTTTAAGGGGGAATAACGCCGGGGGCTAATCCCCCATTAAATACGAACGGGTTTAAACTCATAATTCACAACATTCGAACAAAAATTCGATTTTTTTTTTTTCCGCCTGCACGACTTGAGAGAATGGTGGCAAATAGCAAATGTAAACGTCGTAAAGCCTTAAACTTACTGTATGGGAATGTTAACAAAATGAGTTTCACATTCAAAATGCGCACCATCAGATTCGAATGGGTGTTGGCCACGTTTGGAGTCATAATAGAGAAAGCGGACGCTGTCAAAACTGTACTAGTATTGTCAATTTTTCTAGTTTTGAAATAATTATAGGTAGTTTTGTTATGCAAAATGTAGTTTTGTCAGGGTAAGGGTTCTAGAGTCGAACGTAATCAGTCTTTGAACTTGTATTTCTGATGAAATTAGACCCGATTGTTTTGCTCTATATTGCAATGGAGTGGACATATCTTCTTCTTCTTTTTAATGGCGATGGGTTTGAGGACTGCTTTTAGGGGTGATCATCTTTACACCCAAAAGTTATTGGTTAAACAAAAATAAATTGAACAAAAAGTAAAAGTGGGTTAAACAAGCTTAAATTCGATAAATGTCTTGGTCACCTGTGAGAGGTGTGAATATCTAGACCTGAAGCGCGCCTGAATTTTCTCACCCAAATCAGGCGCGCTTCAGGTCTAGGTTTAAATACCCTCTTTAATTATGGTTACATTTAAATAGAGGGCGCAATATCACTTAATGGTTCGTCTTCGCCGTGAAAATAAAAGGCGCCAAAAGCTTTAACGGTCCTCTTTCTTGCTTTCAAAACCTTTGTTTCGTCTTTGGCTTTGCCTCCGACAACTGAATCACTGAGAAGCCAACCAAATAGAAATATTCCAACTTTTGGCTTCATTATCAACTGATTGAATGCTCATGAAACACAACAGGCACCAAAATGTCAGTTGGGGGCCTAAGATTGCCTTAAGCAGAAGACGATAAAGCCAAGGTTTCGAAAGACTGTCACAAAAATAGAACAGAGGGCGCCATGACACACCAACGGTCCATCTTCGCTCGTGCCCCCCCCCCCCTCGCCCTGCAAAAGGGGCGCTGGGATATCTTGCAGGCCAGTAAATCTGTCCGAAATTGTCTACGCCGGCCAAATCACGATTTGCATGCCCTCAATTCTGCAGTATTTGAGCATATTGTGGGCCATGAACTCGAGGGCTTGTAAAAAAAAATAAAATAAGGATGGAAGCCGTACACAGGACTGTGAGTTTGTAGTTCTTTTCAATTTGGATGAAATTGGGGCCCTAAAATCGCTCTATTTTGCAATAAAGTGTAGGTATCGTTTTTAAAAATGGCGATGGGCTTCAGGACTATTTGAAGGGCTGATCATCTTCGGATGGAAATTTCTCCTAAAAGCCATCAGTTGACCCCCAAAATTAAAAATTAAAAAGAAAATGAAAGATGATGAAATAAGCTTTAATTTGATGTGTGTCTCGAACACCTTGGATAGTTGTGAGTATTTTTGTCTGAATTTCTGAATGGGTGCATTGTCATTGGGGTATATGAATTGGCCTGCAACCTTCACAGAATCTTGTGAAGGAAGTGGGGATGGCATTCTGGGAAACTAATCATGACCCTAGGTATAAAGCATCTGGCGGCAGCTGTTTAAGGCCGCTGTTTAGCTAATGCGCGCAAATGCTATCCGAAAACTTTCTCATAGAAATGTTCGCTCGTACACCCCCTCCCCCTCCCCCGCCCTGCAAACAGGACGCTGGGATACTCTGATGAATTCACGCTCTTATTGGTTGGATTTTGCGTGACCCGTGACCTGCGCGTCATCACGGTCATGACTCTGCAAGGTTTGAAACGGCCGTTAAGACTGATTTATTACTCTTTTATTCCAGTTTAGAGATGCTTTGTTTTCGTTGAAAAGCGTAATAATGTAGGAAATTCTGTAAAACTTATCTGTGTTGTAAATGTACAATTCCCGTCACTTGCTCTGGCTCCGTTTCGTATCACAAATGGTCGGATTGCATTATGCGACGCGCAAAATTTTGTCCACATGGTCCGCAATGAAACAGAAATCACATCCGGTATAGAATGTGCGCATTTCTAGGGGAAGTTTTCGGATAGCATTTGCGCACATTGTCTAACTGCGGTCTTGAACAGCTGCAGCCAGATGCTTTATACATAAGCCACTTCCTTCACAAGATTCTGTGAAGCTCATCAGCGTATCACAAGCGTCCTGTTTGCAGGGCGGGGGGGGGGGGGGCGGGGGGGGGGGGGGGGGTACGAGCGAAATAGAAATGCACCAACCTCGTCCCCAGTGCTTACTTTATTTCCAACCTGGTTTCCAATAGTAAGCCCTGTATCCCGAATCGATGCCGCAATTGGCAAGTAATGGATTTATATCATGTAGTTGGTGGTGTTAATTTTCAACGTGCATTACGTATTTTCACGATCATTGTAATTTTAACGTCCACGCCTTTTCAAAAATACTCATTTCCTTTCCAGTTTGCTCATATTAATATGAAATGTGATGCTGCATATTGGCGGGCCAGAATGTAACATTTTAACTTCATAAAAATCGTGCTTTTCATAACTCACGGCGCGACGAATTGATGCTGTTTTTACCCCAGACACTGCATACAAAGGTGAGAGAGCAGGTAGTGGTGGGCGCGTACTGCTCTACACCCTGGAGACGACGTTGGAAATGCACACATTCCATACCGGATGTGATTTCTTTTTCATTGCGGACCATATGGACACATTTGGAGTGTCACAAATATGCAAGTTCACCCTTCGTGAATTCGAAACGCCGAATGTTTTGGATATTAACGGTGCGTCTTAAGAAGCACCATTGGAAATTTCCGTTAGTGTTTCGGTTTTTTTTTATTCGGTTAAGTTTGCACAAGCGTTGACACGACGCACACGCGCGCGCGGTTCCTATAATTCGTCGGATCGGTGCGGGACTTCGCGTAGCTGCAATCGGCTCAGTGAGAACGTGTCTCGGACGCTGAATTCAGGCCCAATTCAAAACATGATTCAGCAACTTTTGATTTGAAATCGAGATCCTAGAATGTTGTTTTTCTCGAAATATACAGCTGAAGCTGAGCTGAAACTTCATCAGGTTAGTTGTTCAGCACCCTTCTTCAAATTTTGAGCACTTTTGTTACTTCAAACGAACAAAATGCACAAATTACAAATGATGGACTATACATTTAAATGAGAACGTGTCCCAATCCCGGACGCTGATTTCGGGCGCAATTCAAAATATGACTCGGGAACTTTTGAATTGAAATCGAGATCCTAGAATATTGGGGTTTTTTTCGGAATGTAGGTCTACAGCATTCACTGGGCTGGAACTTCACCAGTTGTTGCAGTAAGCACCTGTCTTTAGATTTTGAGCACTTTTGTTGCTTCAAACGAAAACAACGCAGAAATGAAAATGATCTACCCTACCTTTAAGGGCCCGCAGGGTTTCATCTGGCGACCTCCGGTCTTTTTAATGGGAAAAATCAGTTTTGAAAATGAGCAGATTTGGGCTCAAAAAGGTTTTTTAAAGAGACTTAATTTCATTGTGTGGAATAACATTAATAATTATGAAATAGCTCGCTTTAAAGCTACAGTCATTTTATATATATACATATATATATATACACATCATATCAAAACTGTCGCTTGACTCTCTTTCGAGATTTGCCATCTTTAGCTTGATCCATGAATTTGAGTCGTCACTAAATCAGTTCAATTCGTAAATGCCTGCGAGCGAGTGCTTGTGTTTTGCACAGCTGTAGCTGTCAACCGCCATCGCGCGGCAGCTCGTGCCGACATGACACTGAGATGTTCAATCTTTTGCCATGGGTTGCAGAACCGGATTTTAGCTTCGTGAGGTTTTGAGCAGCGTTGCTTCCCTCTTCCTGTCCCTTCCTTCTCCATTCTTCATTTTCTCTTTTGCCGACACAACTGACTAATGGGGGAGGGGATGACTCCCCCACC